AATATTGGGACCTCAGAGCGATGAAATGACAGGAGACTGGAGGAAAATGCATACTGAGGAGCTTCATAAATTATATTCCCCGCCAAATATTATTAGACTGGTCAAGTCAGGAGGATGAGGTGCACACGACATGCAACACGCCTATGGAGAAGATGAATATATACAGAATTGTGGTAGCAAAGCCAGACGGAGAGACACCAGTAAAAGGACATAGACGTAGGTGGGAAAATAATATTAAAACAGATATGAGATAAACAGACTAAAGAGTGTGGATTGGATTCATCTGCCTCTGGAGAGAGACCAGTGGGGGGGGGCTGTTGTGAATATGGTGTGGCACTTTTAGAATCAGTAAAATTTTGTTAAATTCTTGAGTAGCTCAGAGACTGTTGGCTTCTGAAAAATTCCTATAAATATTGTAAAGCTATCCCTGTAACAGGCCGTGGAGCCCCATAAGGATGTGAGACGTCGAGGCTCCCATATTTTCTATACAATCGGCTCAAGTATGTCAGTGAGTTTGTCAGCCTTACGCGCCGGCCGCTCTTTACTCCCAGAAAGATTCCTGGTACTCATTTCTGTTCGAAGCTGAATCTACCTCAAGGATATAATGAGGCTGGAAGCATTAGGTCAACTGAAATAGCCAGTGACCTAATCGAGAATCAAACCCGCTACTTTCCGGCTTGTAGTAATAGTGCCTGAACCAAGTATGCTACCGCGTGCCCCCTGAAGGAGGACTGAGTTCCATAAAATAAATTATTAATTGGTTTTTTCACCACAAATATTTAAGCATTAAAATCAGAAACAAATATAGCTGCTACTAGTAACTAAAATAATGGGAACACATAATTGAACCACAAGCAGAGAATACGAGAACAAAAATCTTGCTGCAGTACGTGCTTCCTATAGCATATAATGGATTATGCAGTTCCCACTGCTCACCGCTCGCTAGATCCTTGGCTTATGTTCTGTTACTTGCCTTCCTGTTCTGTTGGTGTAGGATATCAAGTGGTGCCAACCTTGGTAATTTTTTTATATCTTGTGAAGTTTATTTTGAAATGTCTGTAATTTATTTGTATGAGTTTGGGCAGCATAGCCATAGAAGGAGGGAGGCATACGCAACTACGGGCCGGAGGAGTGATTTATAAACCATTAACTTTAGATGTATATCATGGGAGAGAATTTATTTAATACAGGGAACAGTTATGCAGTTTGCTTTAAGCAGAAGACAGCCTATGTATGCCTTGTACTACTCTGTCCAAAAAGTATCCGACTTTAGGCCGGGAAAACAAAGTTCTTTATCTGGGTGGTTACAATACCTAATCGCCTTCAAAGTAGGGCCCTTTGACTCCACTCACTTAGCCCAGCGGTCCTTCCATCGCTGGAAGCAATTCTGGAAGGCTTCTTTTGGAATGGCGTGCAGCTGCACCGTCGCGTTCTGTATGATGTCCTCGCGGCTGTCAAAACGGCAGCCTTTAGCGGTGTCTTCAGTCTCGGGAACAGCCAGAAATCACAAGGAGCCATGTCAGGAGAGTAGGGAGCCTGGCGAACCTGCGGAATGCCGTGCTTGGCCAGGAAACCCTGGATCAGGTGTGGGGCGTTGTCATGATGCAGCTGCCAGTTGCGTGCGTCCCACAGCTCCGGTCTCTTGCGCCGAACTGCATCACGAAGATGGCGGAGGACTTCTTGGTAGTACTCCTTACTGAACAGTCTGGCCTAGTGGTGCGTACTCATGATGCACAACATCCCGGTAATCGCAAAAACAGTCAGTATAACCTTCACATTGCTCCGAACCTGTCGTGCTTTTTGGGCCTCGGGGATGTTGGATGCTTCCGTTGTGACGCCTGAACCTTGGTTTCCGAGTCATATCCGTACACCCACTACGCGTCACAAGTGATCACAGTCTTCAGGAACTCGGATCCCTGTTGGTGCACTCCAGCATGTCCTGTGCGACCTCAAGGCGGAGTTGTTGCTGCTCAGGCGGAAGCAGCTTGGGCACATTTTGCCGCCACTCTTCGCATGCCCAAATCCTCAGTTAAAATTGTGTTTGCGGAACCTCTGCTGACACCAACCTCATCAGCAACTTCATGGATGGCCAAACGACGGTCCTCCATGATCAGTGTCCGCACTTTTTCAATGACATCAGCATTTCGGCTCGTTGACGGTCTCCCGGTACGCTGGTCACTGTCCGCCGACATACGGCCATGTTTAAAGCATTTGAATCACTCTTTAATTTGAGTGACCCCCATTGCATCATCGCCGAAAGCCTGCTGAATTTTGCGATTTGTTTCCGCTTGGGTATCCCCAAGTTTCTCACAAAACTTAATGCAGTATCGCTGCTCCAAGCGTTCTGTCATCTTGAGCGAAACGAGAATGCGACGAATACGTGTTACTCCACTTCGCTATCTGGCAGCAACAGACGCATCCGGCGGTGTTGCGAGTTAGCAAAAAATCACGCATGCGCATGAAAGTCCCCTCTACCACTACGCTCAGTTTCCCCACCCCTTTGGCCGTTACTTACAGCGGAGAAAAAAAGTCGGATACTTTTTGGACGTACGGTATGTTAGTTTTGAATTTAGTGTCACGTCAGGTCATATAGAAGAGAGAGGAGTAGAAAATACTGTGACGCATATGACCATTGCCAGGCAACGGTTCGGTAAAAAGTAACGAAGTTAGGCTCTCAACAATAGAAGGACGTCCATTTGTAGGCAAGAGAGACTTGCCTACGAATCGTTGAGAGACGGTGTTTTCCTTGGGGTCCACCACGAGGCTATATAACGCGGAATTCCAGTTGAGCAGTCAGTCTTAGAACGAGGATCGATTGTGAATTACTGTAATTGATTGTGATTAAGAGAGACTGTACAAGAAGGTGTCAATAAATAAAATAACACAATCGAAAATCCGTTATTATTAGTCACGGAGCCATAAACACGTGATAATATAGTAGAAGAGTATGCGAAATCGAAAAGTCTTGGAGGAAATGAGAGGTGCTTTATTTTGGGATTGGAGAAAGAGCATCATTTTGTTAGAAGGTTCCCAGGCTTCTCTCACTTGTCCTGAAAGAGCAGAGTAAAAGTAAAGAAGCTAGAACGGTTGGTGGCTTGAGACGGGGGGAAGCGAAACTTTTATTTATGAATTAATATCGAATTGTATATTTTTTAAGAATAATTTTGATCGCTCGCCATGGTATATAGTTAATCGAAATTATATTTAAAAATTTATAGCCTATATCACAGAAAACACACCACATCTCCATTACCAAGTACCAATCAGTGAATATTCTATAGGTAAATAGTCGCTGTTTATTCTGACTCCCATACTGTCGCGTGTTGTCTATGTAACGCGCAGGTCTCGGATTTAGTGAATATTTAGCGGACGCTCCCTTGCACACGCAAGTACAATCATGATCACTCATACCGTCTGCTGACGTTTCTTCTTCACTGGTATAATTACTTGCACCGATATCCTCGGTCAAGCGTCTTGGTCCCTTGTCGAAGAACTCTTCCTGCTCGAGTCGAATACAAACTCAACTGTCAAGAACTATCTGCTCAAAGTCAAAGTCACGTTGCGACTGACGGCCAGTCAGTCAGTAGGTCTTGGTGTCGAGCACCCTCCTGGGGCTCATGACCAGATATTTATTACTGTTTGACAGTTACGGTCTTGTTTTGTGGGGCTCCCTCTCTGACGAGAGGACGGGTCTGTCTTTTGTATATGCTGCTGGTCCCTGCCAGCGCAGTCTTTCTCGGGTCCGAGTCCCTTGCGACCATATTTTACTGTCTCAGATTTGAGACTTCCTTTTTCGTCTCCTCCTCCGACTCACAGGGTCATGGTGGACGTATTCGACTCCGCCCCCACACGGGGTACTGTCTGGTCAAGTCAAAGTCACATTGCGACTGACGGTCAGTCATCAGTAATTCTTGGTGTCGAGCCCCATGTGGGGCTCATGACCAAATATTTATTGCTGTTTGACAGTTACAGTTACAGCTGGACTTTTATAGCCTGGTCTCGGATGGAATAGAGAGAACCTTCTCCCAGGGTTCGATTCACGTGTTCTATGCTTGTTACCGCGGGAATGCATTGTTCCCGCTGTTTCAAATAATTCGTTGCCATTCCTACGCAACGGTCTGCTGGCATTCAAATCGTCACTGTGGGAACTCAACAATTTCCATGCATTCGTTGTCACGGAAGTATGCGTTCCTATTGCAGCCGTTGCGCAGCGATGGACGTCATATAGCATGTCACAATACGAAACAAATACAGGCTGTGATAAAATGCAGAGTTGTTTTAACGAACAGATCGGAACCTGATTCAGAAGGAAATTAAGAGGAGATTGAACTCGGGTAATGCTAGTTACCATTCAGTCCAGAACCTTTTGTCTTCTCACCTGCTGTCCAAAAACATAAAAGTTAGAGTATACAAAACTATAATTTTACCTGTGGTTCTGTATGGGTGTGAAACTTGGTCTCTGACATTAAGGAAGGAACATAGACTGAGGGTGTTAGAGAACAGGGTGTTGAGGAGAATATTTGGACCGAAGAGAGATGAAGTGACAGGAGGGTGGAGAAAACTGCATAATGAGGAGCTTCATAACTTGTACTCTTCTCCAAGTATAATTAGAATGATCAAGTCAAGGAGGATGAGGTGGGCAGGTCATGTAGCACGAATGGGGGAGACGAGGAATGTGTATAGGATATTGGTGGGAAAGCCAGAAGGAAAGAGACCACAGGGAAGACCAAGGCGTAGGTGGATGGACAATATTAAAATGGATATTAGAGAGAGAGGATGGGATGGTATTGGATTGATGTGGCTCAGGATAGGGCCCAGTGGAGGGCTCTTGTGGAAACAGAAATGAACCTTCGGGTTCCATAAAATGCTGGGAAATTCTTGAGTAGCTGCAGAATTGGCGGCTCCTCCAGAAGGGCTCAGCTCCATGAGTAAGTAATGCGCTTTAAACTGATAAAGCGAAGACCATTTATGGGCAATAATCTGTGTCTGGTGTGTTTCAGAAATTGTAAAGGACTGGGGCTGCGACACGACTGAATTCAGACTAACTTGCAGAGTTCTGGAAGCACAAATTGCCATCCTTGACGCCTTCTTCACGGGCAACACTTCCAGCTGCACTTCTCCAGCAGTTGGGACTGCCAATAAAACCCCAACAGCAAAGCCCCCCTTCTTGGAGGAGGACGACAACGAAACTTCTGTCACATTTAACAGCTCTACGCTTCTCAGAGTCCCCAGAGAGGCTGTTTCTTCAGATAAAAAACAAATTACGCTTCCAGTCAAACACAGGTATGTTGCAGATTAGTTTACCAATGATAAATGTTCCGAGGTGAACTGATTTTCGGCGCCTAAAATAGTTATATACACGTAATAACAAGCAGAGGTTAATAATTGTGTTGAAGCGTGTCACATTAAATTCACAAACTCGTCGATTTACGAAAATGCGATTGAGATACTGTCACATTAACCAAGTGCAAAGAGTTGTCCCTGTGGGGGAGTGGAGGTATGGCTCCACCATTCTTGACCTCGGCACTAGATGGAGGCGAGTTGTGAGCTTCTCGCTCCGGTTGCTTTAAACCCCGGGAAGGGGCCTCCTCTACCCTTGAGTAGGACACTGGGTGGGCCTCAGAGCCGTTCTGGACATTGTGGAGAAATATTCACGTTAACAAGTTTTAAAAATTAATATTACTTTTCGGTACCCGACTCCATGCAACAGACAGTCTTCAGTGGCTAATAATGGCTCAAAAAAATCAATAACTAAGCACATGAATTTGATATGCTTGGGGAATAATATTAAGTTGAATCTTACAGATCTTAACGGCCTCAGGGTGTAGATTAAATTCAGCTGGCTCAGAATAGGACTTCTGTGGAAACTGTAATGAAACCTCGGAATCACACACAGTTGAGGATAATATTAAGTTGGGTCTTACGGATCCTAACTGTCTGTAAGTGTCTATTCGATTCAGCTGGCATAGAACAAGGGTCAGTGGTGGGCTCTTGTGATTACTGTCATGAAACTTCGGGTTGCATAAAAGGCGGAGACTTCCTGAGTAGCCGAGGGAATATAAACTTCTCGAAAAATATTTTGTTGCAATGAGTCAGTCAGTCAGTCAGTCAGTCAGTCAGTCAGTTGTACAGGAAAGGAGATTATTAAAAATGTGACAGGATTGTGAAAGTACTTTTTACACTTCGCTCTGAAGTCCTTGTCACTGTGACCTGTTAACGTCAGCCAGAAGGACGTTGCAAAGGGACTTCCCCCATTTCCGGGAACCACGGACGGTGCTCCAAAATTATAAACATTCCTATATCCGTTGTCATGGAAACCTGATGTAATATTACGTTCAGTAACATTAAAAGTTTATGATGATATTGTATTAATAAAATTATTTTGTTTCTGGACATTATCCATAGTCCTGTTCTTATTTAAAACGTACGTTTCGGAGACTGGATTCTATTTCCGTCTTCAGGTTGAACCTACTCAGTCAGGCCCAATCGATAGAGCTATCGTCCGAAGATAGGGACTAGCTCTATCGATTGGGCCAAAACTGAATAAGTTCCACCTGAAGACGGAGACAGAATCCAGTCTCCGAAACCTTGTATATTTAAATAAAAAACAGGACGATGGATAACGTCCAGAAATAAATTAATTGTATTAACGTTCAGTATTTTAAAATAGTATCGCCCAGCAGGTTTCATCAAAGTATGTACGTCGCATGGAATCTTTGTATTCCTTCTCTGACCTTTTCTGACTTAAGCACAAAACACCTTTTTTTTCTGATTAAAAAATGTCCGCCTCTGGTATATGCTTTGGTGGTGTATATATAATGTTTTTGTATATATAATGCTTTATATAGAACAAAAGTATTATCTGAATATAAAACAAATCTAAGAAATGAAGAATGCCTTCCTTTGTGATGTGGCGCCGTACAGATCTTGTCTGAATCGACGTTTCGGATGAACGTACCGCCTCAATCTTCAGGGTAGAAAGATCCGCGAACGAGAAACCAGGGTGGCTGCAACCACCTGCTTACGCTGGTTCTTAGTGCGCGGATTTTTCTACCCTGAAGATGGATGCGATATGTTCTTCCGAAACGTCGGTTCACACAAGATCTACACAGCTCCACATCCCAGAAGACAGTATTCTTCAAAGCCATCGCTGTGAAAATTTCAAATCTTT